GTTGTGTCATTTTATTTCTTACAGGTAATGGTAACTTTAAGAGCAAACTGTATTCATCTAAATTAGCCGAGTCAATGTGTGTGATTGCATATGAACAATCCTCAAGTATGCTTTTTAAGATAAATAAAATTTTAATATAATATTAATAGCAAGTGTTGTCAACCGGTGTCAAAGATAAAGTGGGTTTATCTTATAATATTAATTATCTTGTAACGTATTTTGAGAGTGAGAGTGTATTTTATTTACCCACGAGTAAATAAAATACACTCTCAAATAAAAGCTTTGTTTATCTATATAATATCTACGTCGTCTAAAGAGACATTAGTTATGAAGCTGGCAACGTGTTTGTAACTTCTAAATTGCAGGCGTTCATGGGCGGCGGTAGTCACTTTCCATCAGGTGACCCGTCTGCTCGTTTGCCCCTTGTATCACAAAAAAAGTCCCATCAGATTCCTCACTTCGAACAAAATAATTTAAATTACTCTATAGTGAAAGTGTCTGCCGAATCGGAACATGTAGTTACACATACCTTTATCTTATTAGTATTTAAAACAATAAACCTGTTTGAATGTGACCACCACGATCGACCAGATTATAGAAAGTGGATTTCTGGTAGTTCTAGCAGTATACGCGTAAGGAATTTACTTAGCACCTGTACCAAGAAAGCAGTTACTAGACTTGCAACGAATAGTGTATTCGGCAGTATACCGAATACCGAATATTCGGCGAGGCCCTTGACCGAATAGCCAAATATTAGGCAAAAGTATTCGGCTGGATTTTAGCGCCAAAAACTTGTACAGACGTGAATTAAATTATGTACCTGTTTTATGTACCAATGACTACTTAATAAATGATTATAAAAGAAATGAGAACCTTACTCTTCTAAATTTTGATTACCACAATAATTCAAATACATAGAATCCTCCATTTTTCCAATTCAGAAGATGATTATGTACCTGTGTTATGCACCAATGACTACTTAAATGATTATAACAGAAATGAAAATATGAATATATACGTAATCAATCGATTTTAATTTTTCATTTTACCAATTATTTCTCAATGACAAAATTTATTATTTAAGTATTCGGTATTCGGCCGAATAATATGTAGATATTCGGTATTCGGCCGAATACAATAAAAGCAGCCGAATAGGCCGAATACCGAATATTAACCGAATATTCGTTGCAAGTCTAGCAGTTACCCATTACATAACGATAAGGATGTTTCTCTGTTAAGAATTATTTACAACTTGGGTAGTAATACTGCAAGTTTTTCCTATGTGTGCTAAATAATAGTTACTGGACAGTTAGGTTCTAATTGATAAATGGAAATTTTAGGATTAGAAAGCGGTTCATAGTCAATGAGCAAGTTTACTAGCTTTCCCTCGTACACACCCTTTTGGATCAATAATTGTTACATTTCGATTATATTTTAGTTATGGAAATCAGGCTTCTATTTGCATCAATTATAGTATAAAATTTTAGGCAGTATAAAGGCAAATAATAATAATAAAAATTACTTTCGAGTTTATGAGTTTTTCATATCTACGCAGTGGCAAGCAGCCTCTGCTACAAATACGACTATCAATATTAATAATACCACATTAACACCATACCTTCTTTACAAGTTGCTTAATATACATTGTACCGTACACCGTAATCAATTATAGTTAAGGATAGAAAAGTACGTTATTATTTCTCGATAAAGTCTATAAAGGAATGATAAGTATAAGATTATATCTCATTACCAAACAAAGATTTGGTGTCAAAGATGACGTCTACTAAATGCAGTTACTATTAATATTTAATAGTCGGTTCAAATATCGTCATGGCAGCATAATTGAATTTCATAAATACCTAAGAGTGTAGGTAGCAGCAGTCACACCCTTGCATTGAGGTTATCTAAGTAATTCTACTTCTGGCTAGGCGTGGCGTCGATCAGGGGGGGGCCTGAAATAACATGCTCCGGGTCCTCCCTCAGGCAGTTTCTTTATAGCCGGCTACCTACCTAACACCAACTCTCCTTAAGAATATAATCGTTTTCAGACACCACAAAAGAAGAACTTAGACTGTAGTAGCTTTAAGAGACTGGGTTCTTCTCTTCTTCTTCTTCTTCTATGTTTGTCCTAGGATTAGAGACCTCACTTATAGAGGGCCAAATATATCTCAATAATCAGTCTAAAAGTATCAAACTTATTGTATAAAAACAAAGGATTTTCAGTTGCTTTAAATACCTATACTAAATAGGTAGGCCTGAGATGAAATGATCATAGAATTACATGAGAGGTTTTATAGCTGTAGCAACCCAAGGTTAACCTTTTCTAGGCGCCTTAATTTAGCTCGATTGTTATTTAAGTGCGCAGGACTCCAGTACTGCAAAAGAAAGAAAATTTGACACAAACCCTATACTTACATTTCTGGATAGCGTGGTATAGTAGGCCAAAACCTTCTTTCTAAGGAGAGGCTATGTCCAGCAGTGGACTTTTAAAGGCTGTTATTGGTGATGATGATGTTATTCAACTTGAAGCTTTTTAAGCTTTCTTCTAGTATTATCAAGACGTTTTATTAAGAGGTAGCAAAATAAAAACTACTATAACAGTATGACAAAACAACTTGAAAACGGCCGAGCGAAACGTGATCGGCAATATGCATCGTGCCCTCGGAATCTCGGAGCCTGTAATGAATACATAATGATGCGTCGTGAATATCTTTATACTCGTTAAAGTTTTCGGTTACTTTTTGAATTTTCGATGAATTAAGGCATCAAGGCTAGAATAAACTTGATATAGAAGGAATGTACATACACATGTAAATATGCAGTGCCCTTGTCGGGGTATAAGGATTTGTACCGAAATGTATAATTGATATCTTTTATTGTATCTTATTTGATTGTTGTTGTCTAACATTCTTATTGCAAAATTATAAAACATTGCCGGTTCATAACTTTATAGCATTCACAGCCTTTAGTATATTAAAGTAAACGATATCAAATTCAAAAAATTTAATGGCTACCTAATTATTGTTTAATACAGCAGAAAGCTAATTCTCGTCATAAAAGTTCGGTCTCAATTCAGTTCCGATCAACTTTCGATCTCAAAACTTTCATAAAAGGTATTTTTGTAGTAAAATATTAAACATCCAACGTTGACTTTAAAGTGATTATATCGTATTGCAATCGAAAATTATTTCATCATCTTATGGCATCTGCTAGTCTGAGTAATACTTTATTATTTTACTACGAAAATACATTAAATGACAGTTATGAGATCGAAAGTTGATCGGAACTGAATTGTGACCGAACTTTTATTACAAAAATTGGCCTTTGATTGTCCTTTTGTGAATTATGTAGCTAATAAGGCTTAACAGTGTCGTTAACTCTCCACTGAACTAAATAAAATAAGTTTTTATGACCGAAATATGTGACCAGGAACTTATTCTAATTAACTCAGGCCTTGACCTATTTGCAGAGTGTAACAGCGCCATGAATAGCACATTCTTAGACGACGCGTAAAGGGTAAAATAAAGAAACAAAGCTGAGGTAGATCTTGCTTGTTGGTGGAATAGAAAACACGTTTTCGCCAGATTTATCTTAAGAGGAAATTCTTTAATTACCTAGTTCATAAATATGGTGCAATATCGTTTATGACTTCATAATTTGCACTCAGATTACTTTTTATTACAAATTGTAAAACACAATCAACTTATTGTAATGCATTTTGGGGTTTAGGCCAATTAGATAAGGTTCGCTTCAATTCAGAGAGGGTCAGTCTAGTAACAATCTGAGCAATTTTAAAAGGACAGTTTACAACATAAAATATTACGCTTGATTGAAATAGAATATAACGCCGAGTAATGTTATAGTATAGGTGCGATCATTCATTTGCAGATCAGCGAAGACAACCCACAAATATTTAACAAAAGAGTATGTATTGCTCATATGTGGTTTATTTACATTTCAATGCAGAAATGTGAAGTGTATTGTTTTGACCTGGTGACCATACCACCACATTCAATGTACTTATTTACAGAATCGAGTATATACAGAGAATGTGTTGATATGAACGAGCCTTATAATGGTGCTTCTCATTATTGATTAAATTGTCAGTTATGTTGTATAAAATTACCATAATATAAATGTATGATATCAACAGCCTTTAGTAGTCCATTGCAGGACATAAACCTCTTCTTGAAAAGAGGTTTTGGCCTACTATACCACGCTGGCCACAGGGGTATAGGGTTGTTGTTTCAGGTTCGTTTCTGTATTATATAATATAAAATAATTGCATACATAATGATATAATATAAAATTATAAAAAGTTTCCCATAGACCAATTGAACGCTTTATTGCTGCTTATTAGATTATGTCATTTAGCACATCCACCAGTCGCAGTATGAATATACGATGGTTTGACAGTTGATGAGTTGTTCCACATTTTCTTATTGTATGGCGTATATTAGGTTCTGATAGTTGTAGATAGTATTATTATGTTAGTTAGTGAGTTATTGATTTTTTTGTTTATGAACGTCACAAATGCAACTTGTATCCATGACAGTAATCTTATAAAAATAGTTTTAAAGACTGAGAACGGACACATTATCGTGTCGCCTTGGTTAGAATGCTCGTAGGCAATGTATACAATGAGGTGAGCACCGGCGCCTATGCCATCGGTAAGTCGTTACATTGTTATAGTGCCGACAGGCAAACATTGTTCTCGTCATAACACATGGCGTGTGCAGGCGCAGCACCAGAACTGATACTTACTAGGAACGAGAATGTTTTCATTTACTATTGGAACAGCGTTATGTTATGCGGTTAATGTTTAGTTGGTTATTTTTTTGTGTAATTATATTTAAACATTAGAACAAGGGAAAAGTTAAGTATTTTTTATGATGAGCAAGGGTTTCTCTATGATTTTGTAAAGGAAAGACAGTTTTAAACTTGTTACATTTAGCTTGTTTAACTTGTTACAATTTCTAATGTTGATATTATTGTTATAGGGGGCGGTCTGAACAGCGGCGTAGTCCTTCAACGATTTCCTGAGACTAATTGGGACGACACTCCTTTCCACGACGGCATAGGATGGGTAAGATGATGCTGCTAATCTACACTTCTATAAGTGATTTCAACCCAAGTAGGTGTTATATCAACTGATATTCTGTAATAACAGAAGTGAGGGCGAATACTATATAGGGTGAACTTACTCACAAAAGTGTGACCCTATCCTTTTTGTGACACCTCTGAAAGTACATATATTTTGTTCCTCATATCCAAATTAATTAATATGCATAAATAAATAAAGTTGTGCATAAACGCTTGCAACCAGCAGTATCGCTTGCGTGTTGTCATCAATAGAGACTCTAATCACACACTTCCTCCCCAAGAGAGAGTAATCATGGTTAGGCGCACTGTCGATTCGGGGAGGACCTGAAATCACATAGTCCGTCTGCTCCCTTGAGCAGGGCGCCTGAGGCTGGTTTTACACACCGCATACTTCTGGCTCCTGCGTCCTCAAGGAGCTGGAGACCCGAAGAAATTTTTATCCCCATCAACAAAAAAGTATGATCATTAATAAGGGTTTTAAAGATTTAATATAAACTGTTCGATACAATTAGTTTATCCCTAATGTCAAGTAATATCACAATATAAAATCACTCTCAAATATAAGCTCAAACTTACGAGAGAAGTTCATCGAGATTTTCTGATTTAGTTATATGTTTATGTAAAACATTATGCTACCTGACTATAGGAAATCAGCTAATATACATATCTTGCGATTGTGACCAAGTAGTACAAGGCTGAAGTATTAATTTAATACGTTGCTTAGTACACCGAGTAGATTTGGTAGCGATCTGTCAAATTTAAATAGCTCTTGATATAGAACCTACTGAAAATGCAAGACTATTTGTACTATATTACTGTATCTATGTATTTAACAGGTATATAAATGATATGACGTCATCTATCGTCATATCAACAGGCTGTAGTCTATATTGAATCGCGAACGTCTATCTGATTTGATCTGTTTATGCGAACTCTTCATGGACTGTTGGTTATAAGGCTATTTTCCTTGTTGATATAGTAAGTTCGTTAGCACAAGAGACATCGAATGAATAAATAACCTATTTGATGATTAATAGAGAATGTAATGGTTCGACGTCGATGTCTGTTAGTTGTAAGTTTGTAAAGTCCACCCTACAACGCAATATTTTTCATTGAAAATATGTTCATTCACATATGCATCTGGTTAAGCTTCGTATTTTTTTGTACTCAATGCCAATAGTAACTACAAAAATATCTTTGTGCGTTCTTAAGTCTGTTTAAGTTATCCCTTTCACTAAATAATTGGTGAGTTACTGAAACCTGACGCTACGTTGGTAAAAATTTGAAATCCTAAGTACGCTTAGTAGGTAGTGCTTGTTATTCTCTGTAAGTTGGCTTTCTAATGTAATAGTACATTGAACTTATGAGTATGTTTATAAACATTAGCACAGTTTGTCAAGCTTTAATCCACGGAATACATGTTAAACGTGCTTTGGAACAGTTGTAACTAGGTTGACTTGTACGAAATGACATCCTGGTATTATAAATAACACGTTCAGAGTATTGAATTTGCAAGAAATTATACGTATCGATTAAACAAACATCGATAGCAGGAATTCATTACAAAGACGGCGCGTCTTCACGAGCCTACAAAGATATTCATTCACGGAATTGCACGCACTACTATATCAGTTTCCTTATAATCTAAATAGATGTTTGTTAAATCGTACCAAACTCACTTTGCTATTCATAATGTTAGCTAGAATCGTGGCATACAGAGGATATCAGATCGCTTCAAGTACTTTCGGTATTTTAAAGGGCCAAATTTACTCAATGAAAGGACTAAGTTCTCCAAAGATACGGATGTGCTCTAGTACTTAGTGATGATTTCTTCTTTTAACAATTTAAAAATTTCAGACATAGTTTTGTTACACACATTTCTTCACATTTAATGTGTGTATAAATGTATTTTGCTGTAATAAATTAAAAAATTTTTTTTAAGCTTTGAACCCATTACATACTTGTGTATTATTCATACAATATTTTGGTTTCGCACAAATAATAGACTAATGTAACCATTAGGCGTATGGCGTTCGGGCACGCCGTCATTGCGGCGGTAAGACCCGTTATGGAGGATTGGCTCGAGAGGCGTCACGGGACCCTCTCATACCGATTGACGCAGGTGATCACTGGGAAGGGATGTTTCGGAGATCACCTGTGTCTGATCCGCAAGGAGCCAACGCCTGAGTGCCACCACTGCGATGGCCAGACCGTGGACACGGCTCTCCACACGCTGGCAGAGTGCCCGGCGTGGGTTGAGCAGAGGCGAGACCTCGTGGCGGCCATCGGAGTGGGAGTTCTCTCGCTCGATAGCCTGATTGCGGCTATCGTGCGGAGCGAGAGTGCGTGGAACTCTGCCGTCTCCGCAGAGACGAGAGCCCGCCTCTGCCGAGCAAGTTATGCTCGCGAAGGAGACGGCGGAGCGGGACCGGGAGAGGTTTAGAACTCTCCCGGCCCGCCAGGCCCGGGCACGGGCCAGGCAGCGCAGGTCACTCAGGCGCCGGAGGTCGCAGAACGACCTCCGTCCTCCATAAGCGCAGGCCTGGGGGTGACAGGTGAGGCCATCTGTCACCCTAGCAGAAGCAGGCCGGGGTGGCGGCGAGCGCGTTGCGAAGCGCGCTCGCTTCCAGGGAGCACAGGGAACATGGGGTTCCCACACGGGGCGGGGGTCGTCTACTCGTCTGTAGATGACCCGAGGTATGTCGGGGCACCAGGGCCTTCCTTTCTAGGGTATACCTGGTTCCCCGGCTATTAGTACCCGGCGAAGGCGTGCGGTTTTAGTCGGTTCGGGTCCGACATGCCACCGACAGGTGGTATCCGAGGGGATTTCCGCACGGAAAAAAAAAAAAAAAAAAAAAAAAAAAGGCGTATGGCGTTGATATACTTATTTGTTTATCTAACTATTCGTCGTCACATTGCTTAGTTGAAGACTGTTGATAGGTCTACCACTATGTATGATGACGGTTCATTTACCAGTATTATTAATGAATGTATTTGTATGTATCCACCAGTTTTGCCAACCACAAGGATGGGCTTTATCCACGGAGCGGACGGAGCCCCGGTTCTACGTCTCCGTATTGACGGACGTGGACGCAAACAGACACTATTGCGCTTGTCTGTGCTTCAACGAGACCGTCGCCATCACACCTACCAAGCCCGCCGACGAGGTAAGTACGAAAATATCATTGGATTTAACGGCATTATCCTATTCGATTGTGATACAAGGTTGCAATTATGTACTCGTCTATGGATGATCAGTTGCTGTATGACGCAGCGATAGTACATTGAACTGCGAAACCAGAGGATTAATTCAAGTTTCGTGCAAATATTTGTATGAAAACTGTCTATTTTGTATTGGTTTATAGCAAGATGTGCTTAGTTTGGGTCTAATTAGTGCCATGAAATACATCGCTTAGTATCGATCTTTCATTTGTATAATAGTTTACAGATTCATATTCAGATAAAATTTGTAAAGGATTTACATAAAGATTAGTTACGTAATTTTTAATTAGTTATTATGATTAGTCAAAAAATGTTGCTGAATACGAGTATATGTCATTAATCAGTTATATCAAATAGTAAAAAAAAATAGATAGTAAAATTAGTATGATTATCATAATGCTTTGCTCTATACAAACAATTTATGAGTTTAGCATAGCAACTGTTGTTTCTAAAGTTCAAATATAAAACATCATTCATATATTTCTATACCTTAGAATGACAATAAGAACAAGCAACGTGATTCGGTTTAACGCGGTATATTTTTTGTTATATACTCATTATCATTTATTTTTTATCAGTTCTAAGTTCCAATTTGCATTGCATTTAAATTTATAATTTTATAGGTTTGGGTAGAAACTAAATGGTTTAATTTTCATCTTCAATTTTATAAGGTCATTTGCTGTTCTCAAACTCATACAAAAGGATTAGATAGTACCTACTATAACCAAAAAAAGTGTCCCTAAGTATCTCCAATAGTACTTTTCCGCGTTCTTATCAAATCTGATAAGCAATTGAACTGATCACGGTTTAAATTCAGGGATGCCCCTTATTCAATTGACATTGACCCAATCTGTGCCGAACGCAGCCTACTACGCTAATGTCTCCGTATCTAAGCGACCGAGTGACATTGCTGAACGTCAACGTTGGCACTTCCGTTCTGATAGTGGATAGAAATGCCCTTTGCGATAATTATGATATTAATATATGTACGAACACACTAATCACTAACGTATTTAGGGCCATGGCCCTAAGTACGTTAGTGTTTAGTGTGTTCGTAAACTTAAGGAAAATAGATGGTACATGTACCATCTATTTTTCTTAAGTTTTACACAATTATGTTCATTTCGAAAGACTCGAGTCATTTTTTTTTGCGACAGCGACATTACAGTCTCTGCAACAGCAAAAAATGTAATTATTGTTGTGCATAATGAATACTACCTTCAAAATCTTCAAGTGTGACGGTTGTATACTTATGTAAAACTAAATGTCTACATTCAAGGAATTATACAACGTACAACATACATACTTTTACAGCAGTATTTAGTAGATAGAAAAGGCTGGCCTGACAAACTGCTTTCCTTTATAATATTTTTTTTTCATAAATGCAATGGATGAAAGTCGAATGGCAAGGCGTCATAATCTCCTAAAAGCATTTAAACCTATAATTTTCATGTCATTATTCACTGGCATGTACTACTGTTTAATCGTGTACACACACTGGGGTAGGTGTACCAGTAACTTTAGATTGACGAGTAAAAATTTATGAGTTTACTTTTGGTGAACGTAGCCTCTGTTAATTTTTTTATGACTCATTTCCGTTGTTTGTTGTGTTCTGTTTTAAACCGTAACTGTTTTCTGACAACTTTCTTCCCCTGTTTCGTTAATCATTCCATTGAAATGGTCTACGTTATAATAACGTGATAGAGCAACACTTGATAGTTAAGTTTTATAATTGCTATTTCATCTATTCTAAAATTTATAGCTTGAAAATTCAAATCTATCCAGCGCGATTCAGAATTATACTAGCCAATTGAAAACTAAAAACTCTTCATCTTTATTATATTAGTATAAAAGTATAGTAGTATTTACCTAAATTGATGAATGTTAATCTCGAATGCAGCAAATTTGAATAGTTATGGCGTAAGCGTTACCGTACCAAACAAATTCACTTTCGCATAAATAAATAATATTTGTAACCTAACCTAACCCACCCAAGCATAGTTTATATTGTAAACTTTATATTTTATAAAATAACAAGGCAAGTGCGAACGGTATTAGGTTTCCTTGAAGCGTTGCGGTTAACCAGACATACTGTGCCATGTTTCTGCTTTGTACCTTAACTACTGCGTCTCTGTTACTCGGGAACAAGGCAATAATATAAGTTATTCAGTTTTACCTGGTTTAACACCTTGTCTTGTTGTTATAAACGAACCTATTTAACTTAAGCGTAAAGGACCAGTGTGCCTATTTGCACACTATCCTATTTGCATAATCTATCCTTTCTGCGCCTTATTACGTAAATTGTGTTATTTCCATATTAAGTCTGCAAAGTTGAAAAAATGATTAAATACTATTTGTCCGTCACGGGGAACTCCTTAGCTTTCTACACACAGTACAGATAATAAAACCGGGAATGTCACAAAAGTATATTTCATTTCTTCTTGTCCTGAAGAGAATGTGTTGAAGAGAATGATATTAGAAGGAAGATACGTTATACTAACTTTTAAACTTTCGCGTTCCATGATAATTAATATTATTTAACGGGAATTAACGCGATCTCTTATTTAGGGTATTACATACCTCTGGTTAAACTCATACCCATACTCCAAATACAGTCAGCCTGTGACCACGGCCGGTGCAACCTGGTCGAAACGTCAGGCAAACCAGAGGTATGTAATACCCTAAATAAGAGATCGCGTTAATTCCCGTTAAATAATATTAAAGATACGTTATATTCATACTGCACGCACAAAATATTTGTTCCGTAACCATACAGACATCTATTAATGCATCTTAAAACACAATATACACTTACCTGTCGTATGATATTCCTTCATCTTTATTTACATTTTTTGTCGTAATTTGTGCACGTTCGGAATACACAGGAAGGCATTTCATGATTTTCTGTGGTCCAAATTAGGACCCGCGCGTTTTGTGCGTTGATGGCGTATCTACCTGTTGTTTGTATCATTGATTGAAGTAGATTAATAACGGACATTAGACATACATATTTATACACGTGTGTAATATCATAAACAGAACGCCCACGAAATTGACCAAGAATAAATATGTAACAAATAAAAATCAATATTCGTATTTGTGAGTGCTGCCGTACCGTTGATCTGATCGTCAAGCATCAGACATATCAGACTTCTGATAAACGTACTTTATATTACTAAATGAATTAGGTATTCATTTAGATATATAAAGTACGTTTAATTTTAAATAAATTACACCCAGACACAGAACTACTGATCCTGGTCATCATACAAATCTTAGATCACTTATCACTAGATCAACAGGCCTGTTTTAATATGAACAATTTGGCATTAAATAAAAAAGTGTTTGTGTTGTGTTTCAGAATCGTTACCACTTATGTCAAAAAATCCAGTGAACTATTTATTATAATAATAAAACAGATTTGGAACTTATTGTATATTACAAGATGCTCGGGCATAACATTATCAGAATCAAAGCTGGGCTCACATACAGATATGTTATCGAATAGATTCAGCTCAACATCCCTCAGTTAACAGACATTGACGTTTAGGATACATTTTAGTTATATCAATAGAGTTGTGGGGTACGGTATTTTGTCATGAGATTTCCTCATAATAAAAGCCTATATATTTCACGCCCAATATAACGTGAACTATGATTGTATAAACTGTCGTACATTCTTAACTTATACTCCGAAAGCCTGTAGGTTTTTGTAGCCGTTCTCACCTAACAAACCGTCGTCGTTGTCTATCGTTTTATCCATAAATGTCCATATCATAATTGTTATTATTTCATGTAATGTTAAACAAAAAAAAAACGTGGCATTGTCTTCAAAACACAATTGTTCTACTGCCAAACGACTAAAAACAACCATCCTTTAAAAAAACATCGTAAAAGAATCCGCCAACAATCTTACTCATCACGATAACGACTCTAATTGCTTCTTCATGTCACTCAAAGCAATATCGACCTTGGAAATCTGGTAATAGGGACTAAAATTAGCGGTGGCGTCATTAATGACAACGGCCTCTATCCCATTCTCGTCACGGATCGCAACCTGTTGGGAAATGGATCTGATGACTTTGTGTCATTTAGAAAACTTATACTGTAATGCAAGTTGTAGTCAGTCATCACATTATCTATTTGAAGTCTTAGCAAATTATCAATGATGTTCTTGTGTTACACTAAACAAAACACAACCAACGAGTCCCTATGCTTCTTATTGGTTTTAACCGACTTCTAAAAGGAGGCGGTTATCAATTCGCATGCTTTTTTTATGTATGTTCGGGCATACTTCGTCATATATAAAGGGATTTCAAAATTCGTTTTGTTCGAAAAGGTTTTATTCCGAAATGGTCCCATTTAAATTTCATATAGATCTGATAATGGTTTCGGAGACAGACACGGAAGTCCTCAAAAATGACAGCAAATCAACCGCAATTGCTGCTAGGTTTTTAGTGCTCTTTGTTAGTATTGTTTGAAGTCCGTTAAACTTTTATTTAAATGTTATCTTGTATGTTCAATCTACAAAGTGATGAACGGTAATAAATTAAATTAATAGACAGGCGTTCCTAACATAAAAGTTGAAGTTACAAGGGTTCACATCTTCTGCCGCGATAAGACATAAATCTTTTGACATTATTTTTTTTACTTCTGACAGCACGACTCACATTGCTTCCTTATTGGGTAGTAAAAGGGGTCACACGTGATATGTGAGGAAGTCATTCAATATGTGGTTCCATATCTAATGGATTAGAGACAAGACCACTATGTTTAATGTGTTCTCAAGTCCGTAATTGACAGTCATATTTACATTCAAGGGAGTACTTAAATTAAACACGTTGAAACATTAAAGTTTAAAGTAAGTGGTAATAAAAAAAATCCCTTGATTGGCGGGTGCTGTCAATTGAAGTGTAGTTAAATTGAATGCGTCATCGAATTATGC